TTATTAGTCTATAGTTTTCTTAAACTGTTTTTGTCTGATTTTGGAATAATGCTCGTCTCATAAAATAATTTGAATCCCTTTCTCTTCAATTTTCTGGACACTTATATAGAATTTTTTTCTTCCTTAAATGTTTAGTAGAATTCACCGGAACCTAGACCTGGAGGAGAGTTTTGTGGGAGTTTTTTATTAAGCAACAAACTCAATTTCTTTAACAGAGATAGGGTTCTTCAACTTAGGCTTCTTGAATGGACTTTGATCATTTGTGTCTTTCAAAGAATTTGTTGGTTTCATGTAAGTTGCCACATTTATTGGCATAAAGTCATTCATAATATTTTTTATTATTTGATTGTCTGGAGGATCTGTAGTGATATCACTTCTCCTACTCCTTGATGTTGGTTATTTGTTTCTCCTTTTTTTTCCCCTTGATCATCCTACTAGAGGTTTGTAAATTTGATGTATCGTCACAAAAAAACAAAACAGCTTTCGATTTCATTGACTTTTTTCCCTGTTGTTTTCCTGTTTTTTTATTTTATTGATTTCTGTTTTTTATTATTTCCTTTTTCTGATTAGTTTGGACTTGATTTGCTGTTTCCTAATATTTTTAACGTGGAAGCTGAGGTCACTGATGTGAGACTTTACTTCTTTTTCAGTATAGGCATGTCATACTAAACATTTCCCACTGCTAAGTGGCTTCAGTCGTGTCTGACTCTGTGTGATCCCATCCCTGAGATTCTCCAGGCAAGAACACTGGAGTGGGTTGCCATTTCCTTCTCCAGTGCATAAAAGTGAAAAGTGAAAGTGAAGTCGCTCAGTCATGTCTGACTCTTCGCGACCCCATGGACTGCAGCCTACCAGCTTCCTCTGTCCATGGGATTTTCCAGGCAAGAGTACTGGAGTGGGGTGCCATTGCCTTCTCCGACATTTCCCACTACATGTTGCTTAAGCACCACCACACAAACTCAGATACATTGTGTTGTTATTTCCATTCAATTTTTTTTTTCAGTTATTTTTATTAGTTTTAGGCTAATTACTTTACAATATTGTGGTGGGTTTTGTCATACATTGATTCCATTCAATTTTAAATATTTTCTAATTGGTCTTTTAATTTCTTCTTTATTTTATGGGTTGTTTAGAAGTGTTATTGAGTTTCCAAATATTTGGGAATTTTACAGATAACTTTCTGTTAATGACATAATTTATTTCCATTGTGGTCAGATAACATACTTGAATCATTTTTAATTTATCAAGACTTGTTTTATGGCCCATTATATGGTATATCTCAATAAATATTCCATGTGTACTTGAAAAGAATATATAATCTGCTGTTGTTAGGTGTTATCTTCTATGAATGTTAATTAAGTTGGTTTGTAGTGTTGTTCAAGTCTTCTGCATCCTTACTGATTTTCTAATTTCTCTACCTGATGCCCTATGCCTTGTGAGGTTTTCTGCTCTGTTAGGGAGGGAACAGGAAATATTCCCAGGCCTGTGTGAATGCTGAGGATGGTTCCCTCTAATCCTTTGAGGGATTCTGTCAGTGGCTTCAGGTAGTTCTTGATGTACATGTGCTGATCAGTACTTAGCTGAAGACTTAAGGAGGACCCTCTGTAGATTTCCAGAGTTCTCTCTATGCATTTCTCTTTTCTTCATTACTGTGGAAACCCTAGCCACTTAGGCCTTCCTAAAGTCCCAGTTTCGTGTCTTTAATTCCATTAGATCACCAGGCTCTTCCTGGGTTCCCTTCAGCTGTATCTCATCTTGGAAACTTTTTTCAGATAGTAGGTTGGGGAAATTGTTTGTTTCCCGAAAGGATCACTGTTCTTCACATAATGTCCAGTGTCTTGAAAACTGTTCTTTTGTAAATTTTGAACATTTTTTTAGCTGTTTCTGGAAGGTTTAAACCTGGTCCCTGATACTCCATCTTGCCTGGAAACAGAAATCCATTTGGCTGGTATTTTCAACATCATCTTTTGTAATATACCTGTGTTGTGTTTGGAATGATGTTCACTGTGACCACTTTTCTGTCTAGATGGAATTCAGAGGTTCTGCTAACCACTTACAAGGAGCTGTCTTCCTCTAAGCTGGATATCACCAGATTTTTTTTTAATCTATCTTCTCCTTTCCTCGTAAAAACAACAATTATGTATTAAGTGTCTCCTTTGTACCAAGCATATATTAAGGGTTTAAGTGTTGCCTCACTTAATCCTCATGATAACTTTGTTAAGAAATAATTGTCTTCATTAAAGAGATGAGGTAATTGAAGTTGAGAAGTCAAATAATTTGCCCAAGGTCATTTAGCAAGTAAATGGCATAGTCAGCATTCAAACCCAAGTCTGTCAGATCCATAAAGCTGATGAAGCCCTTCAGAGGTAATTTGCTGAGTGAGGTCAGCTACTAAAATCAACTCAGAAAGGTTTTTCTTATCTGCCATTGCAATAAAAGTAAGCATTTTACATCATCTCAGAAAGGAAAATTATTAGTACCACTGGAAAGAATAGTTTTGATTAAAATTCTGTCAGATGACAGGAAGGAAAAGGGATAAGTGAGCAGTTAAGAAACAGGAAGAATGTGCTTTTAGAAATGCTAGGTCAAGAAAACATTGCAACAGTTAAAAAAAAAGAAAAGAAAACATTGCAACAGTTAAGTTACAGAAGGTGGAAGAGGAAAAAGGAAGAAGCTGTCCTGAGATGACATACTTTGGAAAACTGCAAGAGCAATGCAAAATTATGTAGCAGTGACCCCTGCTGCCGCCACTGCAACCTTCCATTCCTTTCTGTGAGAATCAAAAAATGAATTCAAAATAAAGAAGAAAAAAAGAATGTTTAGTATCAGATAACATTGCCAAGATGAAACATTTTGAATTGATTCCCAGTGTCAAAACACAGTACATATTAACATTCTTTACACTATATTTTTGGAAACTTGCTCTACCCACATTGGCTTTAATTTTTTTTATAGATGTATGGGTGTTTTGTTTTGCTTTTTGTAATGCCCACAGTTGTCTGTAACCTTTTCTAGAATATAAAGGCATCTTCCAAGTGTATGTAAATATGTTTGTTAGTTTGGGGGCTTCCCAGGTGGCGCTTGGTTGTAAAGAAACTCCTGCCAATGCAGGAGAGTAAGAGGGTTCGATCCCTGGGTCGGAAGATACCCTGGAGAAGGGCATGGCAACCCACTCCAGTATTCTTGCCTGGAGAATCCCATGGACAGAAATCTGCTCTGACCTTCTTCTCAAGTCACTCTCTCCATACTCACAGAGCCATCTGTGCACTTAGCATTTGAGTATGCTGACTTCCCACTCTAGGTTGTGAACTCCTGCAAAGCGGACTATGTCCTTCATTTCATATCTCAGAGCCTAGCTTAGTGTTCAGCATTTAGTAGATGTTTGATATTTTAATTAATTGTTCTACCATAAGGCCCAATTCTGACTATCCATTCCTTATATCCTTACTGTGTAAACCTTAGTGCCTTTGTGTGTTTGAATATTGGGAAAATTAGCCAAATAAGTGTTTGTATGTAGCTAGAAACCAAGAAACCTTTGAGGTTATTTTGTTTCTTCTTTACTGGATTTTTAATTTAAAAAGTAAAACATACTTTTTGTTTATAGTTCAGAGACATATAGAACAAGCCAATCTCCTCTATTCTCCAGTCTTAGTCCTTCTGACTCTGCCTACCTCTGTCAGATGTTTATGCTCATTTAAGTGTTATTCACATTTTAATGTAATAGACAATACTCTAGATAAATACATTTTTACACTTAATACCATTTTAATTAATATGTGCCTTTTTGCCAGTAATACACATTGAAACTGGATTTATTTCCCTTGTGCTACATTTCAAAAGAAACTGTGCCCTTTTCTGTGGCAAAATATACATAACATAAACTTCATCATTTAAACCTTTTTATTTTTTATTTTTTTTAAACCTTTTTAAAATACAAAGTTCAGTGGTATTAAGTGCATTCACATTTTTTTGTGCAACCATAACCATCATCTATCTCCAGAACTGTTTTCATCTTGCAAAAAGTGAAACCCTATACTAGTTAAACAGTAGCTCCCCATTCTCCCAGCCCCCAAATCCCTGACAACCAACATTCTACTTTGTCTCTATAAATTTGACTACTCTAGGTAGTTCATGTAAGTAGAATCATGCAGTATTTATCTTCTTTGTGACTGGCTTATTTCTTTTAATATTAATGCCCTTAGGGTTCACCCATATTGTAGCGTGTGTCAGAATGGCCTTCCTTTTTAAAGCTAAGTAATATTCTGCTGTCATATACCATCCATCAGTGGATGCTTGGGTTGCTTCCACCTTGTGGCTATTGTGAATAATGCTGCTGTCAACATTGGTATACAAATATCTATTCACATCCCTGCTTTCAAATTCTTTTGGGAAAAATAATTGAAAGAATAGAATAGAAATTAAAATTGAAGAGCATTGGGAGTACAGAAGTGAAATTGCTGGGTTATATGGTAATTCTATGTTAAACTTTTTAAGGAACCATCATAGCATTTTTCCAAAGCAGCTACACCATTTTACATTCCTACCAGCAGAGCACACATGCTCTAATTTATCCACATCTGTTTTTTAAAGTAATTTTATTTATTTATTGTTTTTGGCTGTGCTGGGTCTTCATTGCTGTGCAGGTTTTTTTTTCCTCAAGGATGTACCAGTTTACGTTTAAACCAGCCATAGATGAAAACCTGTTTCTCTACATCGTTGGTAGCATTTAGAAATCTTTTTAATGTTTGCTAATATGATCAGTTTAAAATGGTAAGCGGCCTTCATTAGTCAGTATTTAACTGACTTTTGGTTTTGAAAAGAAAAAAAAGATCCCAGTCCTCTCATAACATGAAAAATGCAAGTGAGAACAAAACAGATACTTTCCTATGTGCAGTTGAATGAGTAAATTAACATTTTGAAACAACCCGGTTGTTTTCTGCTTTCATGCATCTTCTTGAAGTAACTCAGTAAGCTAGCCAGTGGCCTCTCATTTTTCCTAGCTTAATGCAGATACTGAAAGAGAAGAAGGAGAAGAGTTTGAGGACAACATGGATGCTTTTGATGACAGCAGTTCCAGCCCTTCTGGTACCTTAAGAAATTATCCACTCACCTGCAAAGTTGTTTATTCCTATAAGGTTTGTATTTCTCTAACGTATTTCTCATGTTAAATTGTGACAACTCTGAAGATACAAGTAATGGTATCTACCCAGCCTCTTATGCTGTACTTACCATAATGTTGGTGTTGCATTCTTATTAGAGGCAATATATCATAACGGAAAGAGCCTAGGCTCTGATGGCAGACGGCCTCAGTTAAAATCTTGTCTCTGCCAGTTACAAGCTACATAACTACGCTAGTCCCTTGGTCACTGTGAGCCTCAGTTTTCTTATCTATATTATGGGGGTAATACTATAGGGCTAATGTGGAGACTAAATGAGATAACACTTGTATAGCAAAGCATTTAGCACAGTGTCTGGCATCTAGCAAATTTTCTGTAAATAGAACTCCTCTCCTTATCACTTGCCTGCTTGGCACAAGGCTCTCCATTAGGATAGTTCTCAAAATTGGTATTAAAGTAAAATTGCTTGAAAAAACAGTTTTGTTAAACTTTGCCTATCCTAATATTAATATAATTACCTCTTGTTTCCAGGCTAAACCAGGTACCTAGATAAATAGATTTTTCTTTAGACTTCCAAACCTGATTTGGTATAATAGTTTTTAATGTCTCTCACCCATGCCCTGCTTTCACATTACCATTTTACTCAAAATAGATTGAGTTTCTTTTCCCAGTTCCTCTCTTTTCCTCACTCTTTTCATCAGTCAGTAGCCAGTCCTGTTGAGTCCACCTCCAAGATATATCTGGAATCCATTCACATTTCACATCTTGGTCTAGGCCATTACTTTGATTAATGCAAAAAAAAAGTAATAATTGGTAGCCCTTCTTCATACTTGTCTACCAAGAATCCACTTTCCACCCTACAGCCAAACTTATCTTTAACACATATAGAAGATTATTTTATTCCCTTGCCTAAAACTCTTTTTAAGCTTTCAATCACACAAGGAAAAACCAGCTCTTTAGTAGGTTCTGTAATGTCCAGACTGATCTGGCCCCTGCCAGTCTTCTTAGCTTCATGTCAGACCAACCCACTGAACCTACTCGTTAGCAACTCTGGCTGCCTTTCAGTCTTCAAAAGCACTGTGCTCCTTACTGACTTGACAACTTTGCACTTGATTTCCCTTACCTAGAACTATCTTTTCCCAGTTCTTGGTTGGCTGCCCAGTGCTCTCTGTATAGGCTCAACTCAAATAGTGCCTCCTCAGGTTTCTCCTGACCACCTAAATACATAACTAACTTCCCAGTCACTACTCTATCCCATTGCCCCTCTGTCCTCATTTATTAATTGACACTATATAGAACCTATCACCAAGCAAACTTAATCTTGTTTGTTTTCACATTTCTTTATCTAACTCTGCACTAAAGGCCCCTGAAGGCAGAAACTTTGTGTGCCTTGCATATATGTCTTCAGCACCTAGGACAGTGCCTGGCACATAGTTGGTCCTCAGGAAATAATCGTGGAACAAATAAATGAGTGATGTGAGGAAAGCATGAACAAATGAATCCCTTTCATTTTAATGAATTCCTTTCATGTTAATGCCATGCTTGAGGAACAACAGAGGAAGTATGTGGAGAGAATCTTAAGCATACATGGAATAGTCTCACTCCCACCAGCACCATGCCTGGAGAGTGAAAAACTGACATTATTTACTCCTCAATATCAGTGATTACCAGACTTCTTTTCATTTAACATCCTTTTATTATATATTTAATAATACTTCTTCTTTTCTAAAAGAGTTGGGATTTGTCTTCCCAATGTAAACTGTTTTGATAATCTTCTGAAAATTTGAAGTCATCTTTAAAACACTTTTACAGTGTTTTTAAAATATTATACAACTAGGTTGGGATTGTTTCCCTGTCTTCTGTCTCAGTGTTATATTTATTCTGAAGTTCCAGAATTGAAATTTAAGGGCTTTAAATGGAGAGGGTCCTAAGTATCTGAGTGATTATTGCATCTGAGGAATTTTGCAGATAAGGTAGCATTTCAGTGAGGTCAGGAGTAAGATCTTTCTAGTCACAATGATGAGGCAGAGAAGGGAAAGAGCCTTCTAAGCAAACAACAGATGCAGAGACACAGTTTGATAAGATAATAGAGTGTCCGGGAAATGTTAAACTCAGTGGTATGTGAGCATCAAACGTGGGAAACAGAGCAGCTGGAAGTAAAGATGTCAGATAGACCTGTAGATCGCCCCAGGGTTGGGCTTCTGTCCTGGCTGAAGGAAGCCATTGCGTGTCCTAAAATCATACTGTGCTTTAACGTAAGGGAACCCTGATCATGGTGTAGATATTCCAGAGAGGGTAGATTAGAGTAGAGAGAGGCTTAACTATAAGCCTAGTTGTGATTCCTATGGTCCAGATCAGCAAAGAAAGCCTAAATTAATCTAACAAGAGCAAAGAAAAGCTAAATTTAAGATTTGTTTCAAAAGCCTTAAAAATGCTTGTCACTTTGACCCTACTAGCATCTGTCCTAAGGAAATGACCCACAATATAGAAAAATATTCTGGGCACAAACTTTTTTTTCATCATAGTACTACTTTATAAGAGCAAAGTGAGCAGTCCAATAAGGAAATAATTAAATAAATTAACCATTCATATAATATAATCATAACAATATTATGAGGATAATTGAAAAATTACATTTGAGGGTTTTTTTGTAAGAAGAAATGATACATCAAGAAAGTAAAATACCAAATTGTACTACCTTAAGATCTCGATTATACCTATTTCTAGCTTTTCTACAGTGAACATTTACTACTTTTATGATCAGGAAAAAGCATATTGTTTTAACAGAAAACAGGAAATTTAGAGAGGTGGTAGTGGAAACAGAGGGCATGGCTGCTTCTGGGATTCTGGCGGTCACTGTGTATTAGGACTTCATGAGGTAGTGTGTGACCATGTGTTTATTTAATAACCATTTACTGACCACTTGCTGTCCTGGTTGGGATAAGTGAGAAGAATTACCTTCCCTGCCTTAAAGAAGTCATTCTATTAGAAAGCCCACAAGTGCAAACAACTAACTTGAGTGCCATAGTAGTCAGTGTTAGAGGGATGACCAAAGCCTTATAAGAATAAAAGGAGGAAAAAGCAACCAGCTCATTGTGGGTGGTCTTGGTATACATATAAGCCAGGCATCAAATCATGGGTAATAATAATAGCTACCATTTATGAATTCCTGTGTGCCTGGTATATCTCTCTCTCTCGCTATATATATATATATATACACACACATATATATATATATTTCTAATCCTTTCAATAATCCTATAAGGAAGAAATTATCAACCAATCCATTAATTCAACAAATGTTACCTGAGTACCTTCCGTGTACCATGCTGTGCTCTTTTCTAGGCTTGGAGATACAGCATTAATCAACACAGACAGAAATCTCTGCCTTCATGGAGCTTATGTTGTAATAGGCATAAAAAAGAAAACTGAGGCTCTGAAAGGTCTTACAGTCACTTGCCTGTAGAAACAGACTGAAGCTGGACTTGAGCTCACAGTCATGTAATTTCAGTTACCAAATGGGAAAGAGGATCGAGGCCTCTTGGAAGGAAGACATAGAGACAGTACATAACATGGTATATTCAGATACTAGGGATTAGTTTGCTGGGGCCAAAACATCAGGAGACCACAGGGTCATGCAAAGGACTTGACCTTGTCAAGTGAAAGAACTGGTCACTGCTTAGGTATGGTATGATCAAGCTAGTATAACAATGCTATATGTAGCACTGCTTATATTACAGTGTTGGACAACTTGCATGGACCTTCATGACTTTTCTACAAGGACAGCAATATATTTAAAGGTGTTTAACTCTCCTGCTTTGCTCTCACACACATTGAAATCTGGTTGTATTGATAACCTTTTAAAAGTTTTGCCAGAGAATTAGGAAAAACATCTTTGTTATATAGGTACGTTTTTCTGGTATATTCAAGGCATAGTGTGGTTTGAGATTAGTGAAGAAATTCCGTTGGAAAAGCCATCAGAAATCAGTGGACTCTTTTTTCCTCTTATTTTGAGGTCAGAGGTAATCTGCTTAAAATTCTGGTCCTGAAGTATTTCTGTGATTAGTCAGCCATTTTCAATACTGATTTTCTGTCTCCAGTAGCTATTACAGCAATGTCCAGAATCTGGGTTTGATGAAATGTACATGCAGTGGGAAATGCGTCTTGGGAAATGAACCTTGCCTTATTTTTGCTTATGTAACTTGGAGATATTTTTATACTTTGAGACTGTGAGATCTGAAAAACTATATGGTCTTAACTGATAGTCTTCACTGATCTTGAGACTTGGGGAAAGATTTTACAACTGTTCACTAAGAGCCAGAAGATGCCTGCAGATCCTTCCTGTAACATGTAACAGACAAGTCTCTTCAGGAAACAAAGTCTCTTACTCTAACCCCTCTGCAGTGTCCCTGAGAGTTTGCCCTCAGATTCTACAGCCTCACGGGCAGCATTTGGGTGTCCAATGCCAGTGGACTCCTGCTTTTATTTACTTTTAAAATAAAAAAAGTCACAGTAACTTCTGCAGAAGCACCCAAATGGATCAGCCCAGTGTCTACAGTTAAGTTGGAGCATAATAAATCCAAACCTTGACCGATATCAATCATTTCTCTCCTACAACTTACTTCTCTTGGCCACTGTTTTACGGTGATTGGAGACCAATTCCAGGCACTACTCAAGCTGTCATTCAATCCATATACATAGCTCTTTGCATTTTCACAGTCTGCACCTCCACTGTAGCCCTGTGGTGCAATTCTCATTCACTGCTTTTACCTTTGCCTGTGCTTCCCAAACCATCATAGTTCTGTGCTTATTCATCCCACACTGACCCCACCCCACCCCCACCCCCATCTTCCCGAGAATGGCGGGATTGTCATTTTGAAGAAATGGAGGCATCAAGAAGTTGAATAACTTATCAATAGATACATAAGCTGGAGCTGGAACCCAGGTCCCCTACTCCAGCAGAGTGCTGTGTTCACTGAGCCTGACTGCCTCTTGAGGATTCCGTTTCTCCAGTTTTTGTTGTGGCTTTATTTTGTTTAGTTTTTAAGTAAAACTTCACCTCATTATGATAGTTTTACAACACTCAAATTTTTATGTTCAATACGTTTTTCAAAATCATTTCAATATTTTGATCCCCGGTTTTTGTTATGATCAGTTCACATCTGCTCTTTATCTAACCTTTTTAATTTTGTCCATGACCATCCTACATTGCAGGCTTCTCAACCAGATGAGTTGACCATTGAGGAACATGAGGTGTTAGAAGTGATTGAAGATGGAGATATGGAAGACTGGGTAAAGGTATATTCCTTTGCTCATATCACCCCTTCTTGTGACATTTTCAGGAGTTTGTTTTGGTTCTTGTTGTACTCTGTCCAAATTGTGTGTGCAAACCTGTTTTGTCACATGTCTTTTACTCAGGCTCGAAATAAAGTCGGCCAAGTGGGTTATGTGCCAGAAAAGTACCTACAGTTTCCGACCTCGAACAGTCTGCTGAGCATGCTGCAGTCCTTGGCTGCCTTGGACAGTCGGTCACACACATCCAGCAATTCCACGGAGGCCGAACTCGTTTCAGGCAGCCTCAACGGAGATGCCAGTGGTAAAGACTGAAACAAGGCACTCTACTTGGTCACATTTGACATAAACCCTGTTACCCTGGAGTCAGCCTTCAGTTGGTTAAAAACATGGGTTTATTCCCTTTCTGTAATGTATTTATTTGGCCACATGTATCCTGTACAGTAGAACCCTAGAGTTGCTTTTCAGTGAGTACAAAATTACAGCTCTGCTCATATTCCATTCAACACTCTTAATTGTCACTTGTGCATGGGGTGGTAGTAAGCATTACCTAGTTGTCAGTGTTCTTACTGCATTTTTCTCTCTTGCTACCTAGTCTGTTTCGTGAAAGCACTTTATGACTACGAGGGCCAGACAGATGATGAATTATCTTTTCCTGAGGGAGCAATCATCCGAATCTTGAACAAAGAAAACCAGGATGATGATGGCTTCTGGGAAGGAGAATTCAGTGGGCGGATTGGAGTTTTCCCATCGGTGCTAGTGGAAGAACTTTCAGCCTCAGAAAATGGTGACACTCCATGGATGCGAGAGATTCAGGTGCACAACATGGGAAGAAAGTTGAATTAAAAGAGGTTTAAAGAAAATAACTCCCAAAGAGTCTGTTGACCTACACAGAAGTGGGCTGTGGTCTCAACCTCACCCTTACCACTCCCAATTTTTGGTTGCCAAGTTTCCACAAGACTGAATTTGGGAAGCAGAGACTTGTCAGTCAGGCTCTTGTGCAATGGCCTGTGCATGGCTTGTGCAATTACACAAAAGTGTAATATACACTTCACATCTCCCACATTCTGTTCTCTGAATTGAGGAACCAAAATACTAAACTGTGTGTGACCTACAAAAGACTGGTTTGGCGAGGAGAAAGAAAGAAATCGGAGAGGGAATGTATTGTCTTGGTGGTTAGTTTATACAGTAAAAATATTACCACCCTCTTTCTCTCCCTAACTATCAGAAACTCCCTGCCCAGCCCAGGTCCTGCTAGTCCTTTTCAGAGAACTAATGAGACTGCCAGAGACCCATGTACTCAAGTGGCCCAAGGCTTACTTCATAATAGCAAAACTTGTCTTTATGGGGAACTCCTAATTCAGATATGTCACAACAGGCCTGGCAGGTCCAGGACCATAAGGAATATGTCTGCCCATCTTGCTTGCACAGTATTATGACCACTGAACGTGACAATTACAAAGCCTGGGGAAGTCAGAAACTCAGCCAGTTATTTTATCTTCTCTGAAAAATACAACTTGTCCTTTTTTTTGTTCTTCACTGAATTGACTAATTTAATATGTTTTCAGTAGAACTCTAGAGAATGGTTTGACTTGGTAACTGCTTAATTTAAACTAAAATCAGTAGTATAATAAGATCTATAGAAGGAAAAAGTTAAATGCAACACAAAACTGGTGGTAGTGTGGTTATTCTAGGCTCATTTGCTTTTTTATTTTACTTTTTTTTAATTGTGAAAAGATGACAACACATTCACAGGAGACTTGGAAAATACAGAGCAAGGTTGCATATAGTTCCACCATGTATTAAAATTAGTTTTTAAGTAGATAAATTAAGATTTTTAGATGGAATTTCAATATCAAACTCTCAAACAGTAGTAGAATGAATATACAGAGAAGTAGGATATAGTAGGCCTGAAAAGCACTGTGAACCAATTCAACGTAATTAAGATTTATACAATTTTCACACAATAGTAGAATACAAATTCTCTTTAAGTTCCCATAGACTGTAAATTAGGAGACACTGGAACATATCCAGGGACATAAAACAAGGTACAAAAATGTCATGGCCTAAAGGTATTGAAATCATACAGTCTTTTCTCTTAGCACTGTGGAATTATGTTAGAAATCAATATCAAAAGATACTTAAAAATAACCCACATATTTTCAAGTGCGGCTTCCCAGGAGGTGCTAGTGGTAAAGAACCTGCCTGCCAGCACAGGAGACGTAAGAGTTGTGGGTTCGATTCCTGGGTCGGGAAGATCCCCTGGAGGAGGGCATGGCAATCCATTCCAGTATTCTTGCCTGGAGAATTCCCACAGACAGAGGAGCCTGGTGGGCTACAGTTCATGGGGTCACAAAGAGTAAGACACTATTGAAGCGACTTAGCGTGCATGCATGTGACATTTACCAAGAGATTGTCTTCAACTTAGCCATCAAACTAGGCTCATTTGCTTCTGATGAGGCTGGTCAAAAAAGTTAACAATCCTAACTTAGCTCCAGAGAAAGGTAATTTGCCAGGAGCAGAGAAGCCAGCTGATCGCCTTCCTGAAGTGAGCACTGTGTAACCTCTGTTCCCTTTGCTGCAGGTCTCTCCTTCCCCCAAACCGCCCGGCTCCCTGCCTGCACTGCCGCTGTATGACCAGCCTCCCAGCAGCCCTTACCCCAGCCCAGATAAGAGGGGCTCCCAGTACTTTCCCCGCTCTCCTTCAGCAAACGGTAAGGGGTCTCCTGGGCATGTATCAAAATACACTTTGATTCAGAAAGCCACGTGTTCATCTGAGGGTAAACAGATCTGAATTACCATCTTTATTGCTCAGCAAGACAAATAAATTGAGCTTCTTTGATTCTCCCCCTTAGAAAACAGCTTCCATGCCGAATCGCCAGGATTCTCGCAGGCATCCAGGCATACTCCTGAGACCTCATATGGGAAGCTACGACCTGTAAGTCTCTTATCTAGCAGAGTAATAGAGTGCATCGTTCTTCCAGATTGAAAGTTAGAAATTAATGGAGCTACATGACCCCTGTGTTGTTACTAATTCCTTCCATGCCAGGTTGCGATGGACTTGGGAAATTAAACAGAGCTCTGGAAAAGGAAGGCTATAGAAATAAACACATCTTGGAAGGTCTAGCTTATTACGCTGGCACTTTCCTCACTGAGCCATGGTGAGATTGCCAGGTGACAGTTATGGAAAGTGTATTTAAATTATTACAGGCTCTGTGAGCATTAAAGCAGTCTAAAGCAGAAGCTAAAGCAGAAGCTTTTTTTTTCCCCAGCAGGCGTTTACTGAGAACTTTTTATCCAGGCCTCCACCTGCCTCTTTGACAGACAGTGAGATGATATAAGATTCATGCCCTTTTGAGTTTTGAGAGCTTCTATTCTCAAAGAAAATCTATTCTTTACAAATGATCACTTCTACCCACCCCTCACTCAGCTGCCATCGAATCCATCCTACCACCTCACTGTGAGACAGTTCTTCCAGGGTCATAACTTCCACATGGTAATCTAGTTATATTTGCAGTTTTATTTTCCTAGACCCTCTTACCAACGTTTGACACAGCTCTTTGAGCCACTTACCACCTTTGTCTTTGTTCATCCAGCAGATACTGAGTGCCTTGTTAAGGACTTGGTTCGTGATCCTAAATGTGATAGGAAGCTGTTGTAAGATTGTAAGCCAGACAGTAATATGACCGATTGTGCATCTTTTTAAATTATTTTTACTTACTAATTTTTATAATTTTATGTTGGCTGCACTTGGTCTTAATTGTAGCACGTGGGATCTTTGTCCCTGGGCATGGGCTTCTCTTTAGTTGCAGTGAGTGGGCTTAGTTGCCTTGAAGCATGTGGGATCTTAGTTCCCCAACCAAGGATCAAGCCTCCATCCCTTGAATTGGAAGACAGATTTTTAACCACTAGACCACCGGGGACATCCCAGCTGTGCATTTTTAAAACACTACTGTGGCAGCTAGGTGGAGAATGAGTGGAAAGTGACAGACTGAACATGGCGAGTTGTTAGGAGGCTGGAGCAATGGTCCAAGCAAGAGAGGACTGTAATGTGAACTAGTGGGGAAGAGCAGTAGTGGAGAGAAGTGGACCCATTTGTTCCACCACACTTTTCCTTTTCTGCTTTCTACTTCCTGGACTTCCTTTTCATTGACCTTGGAGGGCTTCTCTGCCTTTATCTAACTCTGTTGATGCTTCTCAGGGTTCCGTCCACTGACTGCTTCCCTCTTTTTTTTTTTTCTTATTTGTTTGGCTGCATCAGGTTTTAGTTGCAGCAAGTGGAATCTGTGTTGCATCGTGTGGGATCTTTGCGATGCACTGCATGGACTCTGTAGTGTGGGCTCCAGTGCACACAGGCTTCAGTAGCTGCTGTGTGCAGGCTCAGTAGCTGGGCACTCAGGTCGGCCTCTCAGTTGTTCCATGGCATGTGAGATCTTAGTTCCCTAAGAGTTGAACCCACGTCCCCTGCATTGCAAGGCAAATTCTTCACCACTGAGCAACCAGAGGAGTCCCAGGGCTGCTGCTCTTAAAGTTATTAAACTTACTCCTGAGTTATCTCATTTACTCCCAAGACTTTGATAACCGTTTATTTAATGACAACTCCCAGATTTGTAACTACCTATCCAGTCTCTTCTCTGAGCTTTAGATCTGTCAAAATCTCAGTGTATATATAGCAAACCCCCAAAACTCAGCTAAAAACTAGTTAATTATCTTCCTTCCCAGACATTATCCTTCTCCCATATTTCCTGTTCTGGTGAGTGGTACCCCTATCCTGCTAGTGTGCTGGCATCACTCGTGACACCTCTCTGACCCTGCCTTTCATGAAGAGTCATCACAAGGCCTGCCAGGGTTACCCAGAGATGACTGTCAAGTTGTTCCCATCTACTCCCCCAGTGCCAGCCAACATCAGCTCTCTTTCAGACGACCAGAGGAGGCTCCCAAACTGTCAACCTGTATTCTTGCCCTCCACCACTCTTTTCTTCAAACTTTTACCTGAGTCATCTTTTCACACATCTGATACTGCTGCTTAAAATCCCCCAAAGACTCTTCTTTGCCTACAGAATAAAGCTCAGATTTTTAAATATGACTTAATGAGGCCCTTCTTGACTTAACCCAGCCTGTCTCTCTAGTCTCATTTCTTGCATCTCTCCTTCCAAGACATGTTTAAATGTTTTTCAGTTCTCCAAGCATTGCTCTCTCTCACTTTCAACTCTAGGCCTTTGCTTGGGCCAAGATTTTCAGGACTACAAAGACTCTTGTGGCCATGAGGCTTTCAGCCCAGGGAAGAACCTGAGTCGTGAGTTTCACATTTCATCCAGAGCAGTTTGTCCTTCTCAGTGTAAGAAGCTGTGAAAATTAAGTTGAAAGCACATGCCTAGAACATTTCTGAGAGCCCTCAGGTGCCCATGTCTTTGAATAAATGACTGGTCGGATTTCGATGCTTCAGCCACTGAATCAGGAAGCTGACTGACCATGTGATGGTTTCTGCTCAGGTCCGGGCAGCTCCCCCTCCTCCTACACAGAACCACCGAAGGCCCGCAGAGAAGATCGAGGATGTGGAAATCACACTGGTGTGATGATGGGTTTACCTGTCCGTTACTGCTACAATCAAGGCCAGGCTTGGAGTTTGGCCAGTCTTGTTTTTTAGGCACCTTTGCTTGCATGATGATGACTCGAACAGAGCAAAAACAAGGAGGACTGTATGTGACTGGGTGGCCTGGTTGACACCTCCCACGTTTTTAATATTTCGTGCCTTTTTTTGTTGTCATTTTCTATGTCATCTCTCCTAGCACAGCACAAATCCTAGTGGGCCCTAGAAGCAGAGAAGGGGGACAGTCCTCTTGCCTACCAGGGACCCATTTTTGTATGAGACTCAAGACCAGGCCTCGTTTAGGGCACAGTTACAGAGATACTGATCATGTGCACTCGTACAGTATATTACTGTGGCCACGAGGACGTGGCAAAGATTCTCATCTTTCTTCAAGTGGCTTTGGCTTATCTGATTGAGTTTAATCAGATCATGTTGGCTACATAAGGAAGCGGTAGAAGGGATTTCAGGAGAGGCTGGTTCCTCCCCACAGTTGGTCCCCAAACTGAGAAACTGAAACCTTATTGGAAAAAAGTAGACTGCCCTGAGTTTAGCACTGATTGCAATAATGCACATCTCTTCCACAGCTAACAGATTTAAAACAATTAACAGTGTCCTTTGTATTAATATTTATGCCATTCATTTAGTATTAGCGGAGCTAACATGGAGGGGCTGAACTAGTAGCCGAATCTTGTCCATCACATAGACTAATAGAAAGGAGGCTGAGGCTAAAGCAGAAATGGAGCTTCCAGATCTGCAATGAGCTGACTTAGTGTTCTTTTTATATTTGGGTATTTTTTTCATCTTAATTTTTGCAGCATATACTATCATGACCAGTATCCTTAGAATTTGAATGTCTTGATAAAACTGGGGACACATACTTGCCTTGTCAAGCTTCTCTATTGGGGAGGCACCTGGCATTATTTTATTCCCAGACTAGTCCACTGGCCCAGATAGCCAAGTTGTGGCTGGCCCAGACTAGCAGCCACCCACCACATAGAATGCAGCTTCCCAGGTCCCACTGACCTGACATTTCCTTGGGAGGAAGAATCTGTGGCTCAAGGAGTAAACCAGCTTCCTATGAAGAAGGACAAAAGGATTGCACGGTGCAAATTGACAAGGAAAGGACAAGTTCTCCATGTCACAGGGAGAGCCAGGAGGAGCCTTCTCTGCAGACTAACAGACCCACAGCAGTGGCTCCCACAGGCCTCTGGTGGCCCTCCACCTCCTATGGAAGATAGGGAGTACATTACTTTGGGACTAAGGGATGTTTGCCAGTTGCTTTTTTTTTTCTTTTTTTTAAGAAATCAAAATCTTCAGAATTTAATCCAAAAGTTGTCTTTTGCTTTGAAAATGCCATCCCTCCTCAGACTCTCTAAAAACTTGAAATGCTCGCCAAATGTCCCCATGGGATTTTTGACCAGAAATAAGGTCATAGCTGAAGAAGTTTTCAGATAGTCATTTGATCACTTCAGTGACAGTACCCATTGATGAATTTTCTCTGTGATTTGAGGACTTTTTTTTGGGTTTTGTTTTTTTTTTTGCATTTCTTAACCTGTTGATCTATTTGAGGTCTTTTTGTGTTTATCAAACTTATTCTTAAGTTTACAAAAGAAATTAAAAGGGTGGGGTTTTTTTAAGATTTTAAAGTTTGTGGACAAGTTAAAAATCTTCAAAGCACTTTAAAAATCTTCAAAGTGCTGGAATTGGGCAGTTCTTGCCACCCACTCTTGTATTCTCTCTCTAGCTAGCAAAATTGTCCTTGAACCTGGGTTTTCCACATTCTCAGAGAGTTATTTGAAATCTTTTGTTATATTTTAAAATATTTTTTGGAAGAGCTGCTAATTTTATTTTAAAAAAACGAAATTGTAAAAATATGCCTCCTTTTTAATAAGAACCCGTCCCTCCAGGACATGTAACCCCGCGTCACAGTGCACAGGGCTGGGCTCAGAGGAGGCGCCTCTGTGCAGAAGTGCTTTCTTTACAGTGGCTGTAAAAACTTTGTATTTATTATGTATAAAATGTTGAATAATAAAAAAAATGGAATTACGTTTTCTAAGTTTTTCTTATAAGAAGATTTGGGTAAACAGGCTTTTCCAAATAGACAGTGCTGCTTTTAAAGACGCTCTCAGGCCCTCCTTCAAATCTTACAACAGGTACAAAGAGAGGGAAGTACATTAACCCATCCAGGGGACAAACAGCCCTTCATGCCACCCTACCTGCCAGGGGTAATACCCTGAATGCTAGAGAGAAAGATAAGTAAGTTGTGGCCTTGGGCGTCAAGGTTCTCTCCATGGAGAAAAAAAAAACGTATATACCTGAGGACAGTACTGTATGATATGTGCTGGAAAGGAGAGACAGAGAATGTGCTGAGGGGGCTGAGGAGGGAGCCCCAAATCTGCAGCTGCGAGGGCCAGAAGGAGGCCACTGAGTCCCCTCAGATTGATGTGACTGCCTACTCCCAGGCAGTGGGCACTCTGTACTCCTCTGTCCTTTTCCTAAACCTCCACCCTAGGAGTTATAAGGCAAGAGAAGGAGATGTTACTGTTTCCAGGGGTCGCTGGAGGATTCCAGGTAGAAAACTGAGTCCATCTGGCTACCAGCCACCCCAGTGAGGACCACTGTTTGGGGAGGGCCCCCACAACCCTCCTCTTCCAGAGCTGGGCAAGTGTGATATGTAATCTTCCAAATGTTTTCTGTGCATAGAACTTACATGTGCCAACACTGCCTTTTCATATGTGAAATTATATAATACATTTAGATTTACCTCATTCTTTCTGAAGGCAGCATTATATTCCATTGTTTGGGTATAGCATGATTTAAACATTCCTATAGTGATGGATGTTGAGGTTGTATCCACTCATTTGCTATCAGAGAGCTGAAATTAATACCTTTTTGTATAAACAATACAAATTGTTTATAAATTTGTTCCAGTAAAAATATCAGGTAAATTCCTAAATATGTAATTTAAGAGTTAAAAATGTACGTGTGTATTTAATTTTGTCGTGCTGTGTGCTAAGTCGCTTCAGCCATGTCCAACTCTGAGACCCTGTGGACCATAGCCCACCAGGCTCCTCTGTCCATGGGATTCTCCAGGCAAGAATACTGAACTGAGTTTCCATGCCCTCCTCCAGGGGATTTTGCCAACCCAGGGATCAAACCTGCATCTCTTACATCTCCTGCATTGGCAGACAGGTTCTTTACCACTAGCACCACAAAAAGTATGTATAGATTTAATTTTGTCAGATTTTGCCAAATTTGCCTCCAAAATGATTATATCCGTTGACACTCCCACCAACAGCATAGAAGACAATGTGGACTTTGGACTCAGAAGGTCTGAGTTAAATCCTGGGTCCCACTTGACAGCTGTGGGACCCATCTTCAGTGTCCCCATCAGAAACCTAGTAATGCCGTGTCTCCAAGAAGGACATGTGAAGTATGCAGCACAGGGTGGTCTTCCTCAGCATCACTGCCCCACCTTCAGCACCTCCCCTGCAGAACTGTGCCTTGCTGTCCTTCCAGAGCTTTCATAAGGCCCAAAGGAAGGAGTGGGTGTGAAAGTGCCTTACCATAAATATGTTAAAGGCTATCAATACACATTAATATCATGTCCATCTTCTGTCTTCCCCTGCTAAAGAAAGCTGCTCACATTTAAGACTACCATTGGTACCAGAGGCCTGGTCTATGACCAGGGGACAGAATTAAGCTGATTGCCTCACCCCTGTATCATAGTTATACCGGAGCCTCCTTCATCATAGGAACTAAACATGAGGCAGCCAAACCAGAGTCACAACGCATCACCTGAATCCCTTTTCTCTATCAGCCGTCCCACCCACCCCCAGCCCACAGCCACAGGCAGACAGAAATGAGTGAAAGGATATCCTACAGCCCTGCCACCGCTTGATGGATGCCCTTTCCACTGGGTTGCCACACCCCCCAGCTTTAAAAGAAGCAGAATGAGATGATTTCCAAGGACTCATCCAACCTTTATGTTCCAGGTAAGTTCAGTTTCTAGATGCACAATGAGAACATCACACAAAAAAGTCACAGTATTTGAGAAGACTACTAAAATAGACTTCTCGGGATGGCCAGAAGTTGAAGATTCAAGCCACTGGACTCGCCACAAGACCAAAGCAAACTCCTCTGGGTTGTAATCTCACTGGGCTGCACCCTTCACTCACTGCCCAGGGAACCCAGCCAAAGCTTTCAGTAGTGAGGCAAGTTGTTTTTTCGGCCTCTGAGCGGCTTTATGACACAATCTATATGAATCATTGCATTTAATTGCTCATTATGAAGCTGTTTTTCATGACAAAAATACAACCAAGTTACAGAAATTTTAGTTTATAAGGAGAGAGTTGTAATTTGTCCCCAAATCCTACAACTTAACACAACCAGTATAAGTTTCCTCTTAGAAGCTGTTACTGCTTGATCTGTCAAGAATTGATTCCAGAGGGCATCTCATTCCTGGACCACTTTCCCCTGGTCCCACTGGCCAAAAACACAAATGCAATACTTCTGCCTCGTCTGTTTCAGAGAGCCCTGGTCTGGAAATACTTCACTGGAATGTTATCCTGAAACAACAGAAAGGAACACCTCTTCCACAGTGTATGCTGAACAAATACACATGCTTCTTGTCACTCAGTTGCTCCTGTGCACAGCAGGGGAAGCACCTGGTCAAGAGGCCTGTATTCAGGTCCCTGAGCTACCTCACTTAGCTGTAACCTTTGACTCATCGCTTCACCCTTCTGGGCCTTGCTTTTCTCACCTGTAAAGTGGGAAGGAGAACACAGTACCAGCTTCATAAGACCCAGGAGAATCGAGTAAGATAATGCAGAGATAAGCTGAAGTATTTTTGACTAGTGAATGTGCATCTATAAAAAGAAAACAGCCCATACCAGACTGTTTCTATGAAATATAAACTGTTTGAAATATGGCATTTCACATATCACAGATGGGTCCACACCTCATGCCACCAGGATTCCTCCAGAG